ACCTGCAGAGAAGTAATAGAATCTGGATCTTTGCCACTAAATACCTCCGCGCAAAAGGCAGAACTGATTGCACTGACTAGAGCTCTGGAACTAGCAAAAGGGAAAAGGTTAAACATCTATACAGACTCGAGGTATGCATTCGGAGTTGTGCATGCACATGGAGCTATTTGGAAAGAAAGAGGACTGTTGAATTCACAAGGAAAAAACATTAAACATGCACGGGAAATATTGAGACTGTTGGAAGCGGTCCAATTACCTGAGAGAGTGGCAATTATGCACATTAAGGCACACCAGAAGGTGAGCTCGGAATTAGAGGAAGGAAATGAGCTGGCCGATAGGCAAAGGAAGCGGCAAAGGGTGAGATAACAATTGAAGGAGCTTTAATTCCTGATGGAAAGATTTCTCTGGGAGCTAAGCCAAATTATAATAAGGAAGATCAGAAATTGATTATAGATCAAGATGGAATATTTAATGAGGATGGGTGGGCTAGCACACCACAGGGGAGGATAATTGTTCCCTCATCGTTGTTATGGGCCCTTATAAAAAATGAGCATCAGAAAACACATTGGGGAGTGGATGCCTTACATAAATATTTAATAAACAAAATCATAGCTAGAAATTTGTACGCTACCATTCAACAAGTCACTCAACAATGTGATCTTTGCCTTCAGACCAACCCCAAAATTACTCCCAAACCTAAATTAGGCCAAATTGGCAGAGGTAATGGACCAGGTCAACAATGGCAAATTGACTTCACGGAGCTGCCAAAAAAAGGGGGGTATAGACATTTGTTGGTACTAACAGACACCTTTTCAGGTTGGCCAGAAGCCTTTCCGACTAGAAGCGCACAAGCCCGGGAGGTAACAAAAATATTGTTACAAGAAATAATACCACGATATGGAGTTCCAGCCACTATATCCTCAGATAGAGGGCCACATTTCATTTCGAAAGTGGTACAACAAATTAACAAACATTTAGGTATTGATTGGCAACTTCACACTCCCTACCACCCCCAATCAAGTGGTCAGGTGGAGAAAATGAACCATCTAATTAAACAACAAATTGTGAAATTGGGTCAGGAGGCCAGTCTACCTTGGCCCCAAACACTACCATTAGCTCTACTGAGAATTCGAACTAAACCAAGAGCTCGAGAAGGACTGAGTCCTTTCGAAATTTTGTACGGGAGACCATATGGGGTCCAGCAGGGAACGTCTCTCCAAGTGGGAGAAGAGACTATAAATAACTATATAATAGAATTAGGAAAACAACTCAAGAAAGTTGAAAAATATGTGGCTGGAACTCGAAACAGAGGACTGGACAGTCCAGTACATAATATACAACCTGGAGATTATGTGTATATAAAATCTTTCAGGCCCACAGGAGAAGAAGATCTTGAACCGAAGTGGAAAGGGCCGTTCCAAGTATTACTCACAACTTTCACAGCTATCAAAATTAGAGAACGAAACATCTGGATTCATCATACTCGAGTAAAGAAGGCTCCAAAGACACCCTGGAAAATCACAGCAAGCGATACTAACAAACTGAAACTGAAACTAACTCGTGGAAAATAGAGTGATTCATGGGTGTCAATACGATGTTATAATTGTAACCAGTATATATAGTTAACAGTTATAATGGGGCAATTATTGATATTAATCCTCTATATCTGTACCATAGTCCAAGCCATAGAAAAGGGAACTTCAATACTGGGCGCAAATACGAATGTCTGGCTCACATGGGCAAACAAGACTGGGGTTACTGATTTTTGTCTGACCTTAACACAAGTAGGAAATCCCTTTCAAACATGCCTAATTGGTGTACCATACCTGGACCCCTCTGATTTTCGGGGATGGGTTAAGGATGACTCGATCTTAAATCCTAGCACAGTGATCAAAATGGTTCAGAAAGCTGATGGAACCGACTGGACAGTGGCATCAGTGCAAATGGGTATAATAATAAGAAACTTAAATTACTCCACTATCCCAATGCAAGAACTCCAACTCCTGGGATCTGACAAGACTAATCAGAGCTGCATAACTTTTAATACATGGTCAAGCAAAGTTCCTGAGACCAAGGTAACTAGTGGAAAGACATGGTATCATAATATAACTGCTTACTGCTCAGGATCATCTCCGATGTTACGATACAATGATGAACTACCGAAAGCTCTACCCCCAGGGTATTTCTTGATATGTGGGGACCGTGCATGGCCAGGGATCCCTTCCAAACCCTTTGGAGGACCATGTTATATAGGTAAATTGTCCCTGTTTGCAGCCTCCAAAAGACATTTAGTCCAGGACATGAAAGATAGCCTCCGCAGAAACAAACGATCCATTGGGCAATTAGGCCCAAATTGCGATTCCAACTTGAGAATCTGGAATCACACAACAAGATTTTTAGCAGCATTATTTCTACCAAATGTAGCTGCGGGGAAAGCATTGGCAGATATACATCGTTTGGCATGTTGGGCAGCTAAGCAATTAAATATAACTTCAGATGTGATATCCTCGCTAGCCACAGACACAGATAGTGTGAGACATGCATCTTTACAAAACCGAGCAGCAATTGACTTTTTATTATTGGCTCATGGACATGGTTGTGAGGATTTCGAAGGTATGTGTTGCATGAACTTATCTGATCATTCTGAATCAATTCATGCTAAGCTGCGAAAATTGCAGGAAAATATGCAAGAGCTTAAAATTGTTGGAGGCGGATTGGATGAGTGGTTAAATAACTTAGGAGTTACTGGATGGTTCAGGGACATACTGAAACAAGGCCTTTTAATTTTGGCTATGGGATTATTCATTTTAACGATTGTACCTTGTATAATACAGTGTATATCTGAATCACTTCATAAGTCGATAGAAGGAACATGGATAGCTCTGTCATGAATAATATAGTAAAAGAATTTACTAACTTTTAAAAGAAAAGGGGGGATTGATGCAAAGGGTTGACCAATGTACAGGGGGGTAATACAGGGGTTGTAGTACAGGGGGGTTGGACGGGGAATTGTACAAGGGGGTTAGAGGAATTTGTTTGCTAGAGGAATTTGTTTAAACAAATAGACTATCTGTTGTAAATGCCTGCTAAGCAAAACAGAGGCCTCCGGTCCTGTTAATAAGCAGGTGCCTGAAACCTCTAGTCCTGTTAATGAGCAGATGCCTGAATCTACTGATAAAGGGAAAAGCGGAGGATCTACGGCTGGGACAATGATCAAACTCCACTAACAAGGGGAGAAGCAGAGACTCCACTAACAAGGGGAGAAACAGAGGATTTACGGCTGAAACACTGATCAAACTCTACTGATAAGGGGAAGGAGCAGAGAATTTATGGCTGGGACACTGACCAAACTCTACTGATAAAGGGGAGAAGCAGAGAATTAATGGCTGGGAAACTGACCAAACTCTAGTGAAAAGTGCAGGAAGAGGAAGACTCATTTACTTCATCTTGAAGACCCCTGCCCAGAGGAGGAAGACTCATTTACTTCATCTTGAGACCCCTGCCCACGACCGGAGGGGGGCACTGCGCAGGTGCAGAGGACCTTCTAGCTCATTATAATACGAAGCGGGGATAGGATATGAATATGTATAGGCGTATTGTGTAACCTCATGAATATATATAACTTTAGAGAATAAATGTAGAGGGAAACAATACTGAGGTACGCATATCTTTGAGGAATTATCCCTATGCGTCTCAGCGCTGAATAAAAAGCATACCTACTTTACAACTTTTCTAAGGCCCTATGTGAAGACTAAAAGGTGAAAAGTTCAAGAGGAAGACTAATTTACTTCATCTTGAAAACCCCTACCCGCAGAAGGAAGACTCATTTACTTCATCTTGAGACCCCTGCCCATGACCAGAGGGGGCACTGCGCAGGCGCAAAGGACCTTCTAACTCATTATAATACGAAGCGGGGATAGGACATGAATATGTATAGGTGTATTGTGCAACCGTATGAATATATATAACTTTAGAGAATAAATGTAGAGGGAAACAACACTGAGGTACGCATGACTTTGAGGAATTATCCCCATGGGTCTCAGTGCTGAATAAAAAGCATACCTACTTTACAACTTTAATGAGTTGTGGAGTCTATCCGTGTATCAGATGTATATCTTGTAAGCAAGAAGTTGGCAACAAAACTAACTTTTAAGGTGTCCTTGAAGTGAACTGCCTTCATTACAATACGAAAACTCCCATCTAAAGGTCAAAAAGACCCCAGCCCAGCTGAAGACCCCTCCTCCAAGCATGCATAGTGATTAGAAGGAATGATAAAGAAAACATGGTATGTAGATTACTGAGCAATCACTGTAACTAGGAGTGTACTGCCTTGTAACTTTTGTGTGTAAGTGTAATGAAGAAGCAAGCACCACATGTACTTGATTTGCAGAAATGCACCAGCCAGCACCCTGCAAGGGTCTAGACCCTCTAAACAGACTGAAGAGTGTGTTCTGAGAGTTCTTTCAAACAGGCAACAGGGTTCAGTCCACCCAAGTCCAGAAAAGCTACAGGGATGGAGCTCCCACAGACAGCCCCTGTGGGTCCCCCTCCTGCCCTGTCAAAACTCCTATGACAGCTAATGGTAATTTCCCTGATGCTGCCTATGACCATTTCCACTCATCCTTTCACTGTGCAGCTTCAGGAGAGTCTGACTCATATTATCTCTGTAATCACTCATTAAGTTGGTTAAAGACAGCAATCACTTTGCCCTCTTAATATTCTTTTTAGGCTTCTGATGAAATACACTTGCTAGTTTTCATGAGTTTACAATACCATTTCCAATTGTGTAAAACACTAGTACAGCAGCAGGAATCTGATGGAGAGAAAGCAAAGGCATCATTTACAACACTGCCACAAATAAATTAAAACCAGTTTCCCATAATCACCTCTTCAGAACTTGTATATTATGCATAATATTAGCAGTGGGGGAAAAAATTAGATGGGACTGATTTATTTTAAACAGACTGGAAACAGGACAAAGAAGTACAATATTCTCTAGCTAGTTTAGAGCAATTGTTTAATTGTTTCATATACATAAAACCAACAAATTGGCACGAACATCTTTGTAGTTTTTTCATCAACACAGAAATACTGCATTAAAAACAATGGTAGGGAAATGCACAAAGGCATTTCAGTTAAGGCTTCTGCAGATATTAGATGTTTAATTACAGAACATGCATTTTGTAAACTTGTTTAAAACCTTCTAAATAACTGGACAAAAAACTCAGTTAAACTCATACTTCCATTGTGAGGCCCAACGGAATGAAAAGTACTTTTAAAAATAGATAATCAACCATCAAATTGCTTAGTAAGTCTGATTTTAAATGGCAACCTCAAACCTCACACATTTAAAAATACATATACTTGGACCCTCCCAAAAAGATACATGGAAAAGTTTGAAATATTGATCCCGTTAAGTTCATTAACTTAATCCCTGCTCAACCATCTAAACAAACTACTGTATTTCACAGTGAGAATCTGGCTCTTGGCTAGCATCACTTTGTCCAAGGGATACTTGGAAGGCCCATTTCTAGTAATCATGTCAGCAATGATATTACTCAAATATTTCCTGTACTGATGTGATGACTTAGCACAGTTTTGCCTGAGCTCCATTACCTTATGGGCAAAATTAGACTTTTTACTATGTCAAGATGACAGAAATATCAAGCAGCAAAGAAAAGCCATAGGACAATACTGTGTATCAAACACCACATCTGGAGAAAGTTGTGGCAACATACATGGGGACATTAAGTAGTGCCTCATCCCCCATCTCTTACAGCTAATCATGACAGAACCTCCAGTGCAACACCCTGACTCTCTCCATTTTAATGTACAATGCAGTGCCATCCACAATCTAGCTCTACAGTTTCCCAAAAATACTCAAGAGCCATAAAAATTTACAGAAAAGGTTAAACACTTCTTCCTACAACAAAGAGAATGGCCCAGAACACAGCCAATAGCTGTGAAACAGCTTTTAATTCTGGTAGAACTTCCTCCCCCCCCTTCAAGATTACCACAGCATTTAAAAAATATTATCAACAGTGAATGTTTTAATTAAGATATCTGTGTGGGTGTAACAGAATTCAAGTCCTCAATAAGGCAGCAGCTTGCCCTAGTTACTCATGTTCCAACCTTGCTCTAAAGCAACTCTGGTTAACAGCACAGAAAGTTACTGGAGCTTTAACATTCCCTTAGTCTTTTATCTGGCTACTCCTAACTTCACTACTAGAAAGTATAGCTATTCCACAGGAAACTGTAGCTTTTTTGTGACAATGGCACACCCTTTAGGACCACACTTAGACATACACATAAAAAAAACGTGCCGACAATGCAAGATCAATGCATATTAAATAACATATACAAATAGCTTTGGGGCTTTAGGTAGTACTTTCTTGAGAAACTGATTTTGCTCTTGTCTATGTCTACTGAGGAGATTGTTTCATCCTGCAATATATCTGTATTTATTTACATCTGCAGTAATTTCATTTTGCCACTTTTATATAAAAAAGAATGTTGGCTATCATAATCAGAAAGCACCAACTGCACTACTACCGCATCACTACATAGAAGGTGGGTTGCTGCAGAGTTTTTGTTTTGCTTTAGAAAGCATTTTTTTAATAATTTTAGGAGTTTCCCATTCCATCCTAACAGAGAACAACAAACATCCTTTTGAGGAAAAAGTACTCTCCATCAAAATACATAGAAGTAGGAACAGTTCTAACATCTGTGAAATCCAAATTTCTTTGGAAATCACAGTGAATGACACTAGTGCTCTTACCATACCAGAGAAGAAGAAACCAGAACACTATTCCTGTGAACTGCGGCTTTATAATAGTCATGCATCCTGGCTGTCAAGAAATGACAGCACCTACATATATCCTGCTGACAACCCAAAACCACCCTGCTTGATTAAAAGATGTTATATAGGCATTAATTAACTGACCAAACTGCTGCAACATTTAACTTCTCTTTCTTGTATCTACATCAACTTGAAAAACCTTATTATCATCAAGATCTTTCATCAAGAGAAAGAACTGAAGAAAAATAAGTGTCCTCTTTTAAGGAATTATTAAACAAAATTCCCGATGATCCAATCTCTTATTCTAGCAAATACAGCTAAACCTAGGTTATTTTATGCTTAGTGACACTGTCGGGTTTATGCCTACTGTTTTGCTATAATCTTCCTTAGACTACATTCTTCGTAAGATTTGTTTTAATCTCTAGAGAATATTTAACCAAAACAGGTAAGCTAACTGCTATCAGCATTAGTAACAAAAGCGAGTTATTGAAGACTGTACAGCAGTCAAAAAAAGCACTGAGTGCCTGATCTTCTGCATCCATCTAGTTTCTTTGGCTAAACAGGTAGCAGTATTTACAAAATCACCTTGACATTACACACTAGAGATAATCTACTTTGTAAAATAAAAAGCAAAAGTATGAAAGTCTTCAATCCCATTTGGAACTTGTAGCATACATAAAAAGACCAAAATTAAATATATACAATATAAAAATACATTCTTCTTCTTTATGAAAGTTATCATACGTGGCTATAATACACAACATGTTGAGCCATCAGTCACAGCTACAACATTTTCAGATGCTTGTTCCACACTATGGCTGGACTCTGGGTAAGATATCTCCCTGAGGAAATTCCTTGATTTCAGCATGAAACATCAGTTCTAAAAGAGAAAGAAAAGAATCAGGTTTTCTTTCTAAAGTTTCACCTTAATATGATTTCATTATTTCTGAAAAGTGCTCTGGCATTCCCCCAAGCCCTGTGCTTTTATTCCCAATCATAATAAGCAACTCGGCAACGGCAAGGGCCACCACTGTCTACTAAGTTTTGAGTGTGTCAGACTCAAGGGAAGATTTTTGTTCAGAGACTCATTCATTTATGGATATATCTGCTCTGTGTGTTACAGGGTAATTTAGCAGCACAGAACCTGGGATAGGAAGAATCATGAATGATGCTGCTCACAACTAGCTGTCATCATAGCAGCTCAGCCATGGAAGGCAGCCTAAGGCCAGCAGTGAAGAGGTGCAGCAGAGGAATTCGGCTAGGCACACAAATAGCTGATGTGGTAGCCCTTGTGGAACTCTGTGCTGCTAGCTTAGTTTTCTTGCATCTGGGTTCCCTTACATATCTATACTGCACCCTCAGCATTCCTGTACTTCTGTCTTACTAACAGCACATTCAGCGTACAGACCAGGCTGTGTTTGCCAACATTTTGTCAACATGGTAAAGTTACATGATCTGTACAAGCAACTATGTGATATACCCCTTCAAGTTTGAGATTCTCGTGTCTTTTTGCTACTCATCCCTAGTAGACTAAAGTCTGCAGTTTCCTTTCTCTATCTGGGATACGTCCTAATAGAATTTCTCTCGAAATTTCTGAAGCAGGTTTTCTAATCTTAGTAGGCACACGTAAATATCAAGCCAGAGTTAAATACTGCTAACTGGCTTCCTTGAATAGGTCTTTACTATTTAAAGAATGGGTTTTAAATTCTATTTAAGCTTCTATTACAAATTTCACTGTCAAACATTGTAAAGGCTGCCACTTAGCTGTTGTTTGGGTTTGGTTGGTTTTTTTAACTCATTGAGTTATCAGAAATAAGCAGATTAACTGAGGCCAGCTGCAATACAGAAATCTGTATATTAAAATGCTAAAGTAGTCTGAAGAAGCATGTTGGATTTTGTTTTGTAAAGTTGCTAGGAGATGTCTGTTTTACCTCAGCCACAAGATTTCTCAGAACTACTCCTGAACAGCAAACACAGTGCACAGCAGATAGAAGTCTGAACCAACAACATTGTGCCTATTAATGTTTCCTACCTTCACTGTGGTCTAGCTCTGGTCGGTAAGACAAGAAGATCCAACTTGTCCCAACTAGAATAGACACTACCAGATTCACCACAACCCATGGCTGAACAATTTCTTGCTCTGTACCTGCCATCCTGGAAAAAGCACAACAACCCATCAGGTGGCAGTTTGCAGGTACACAGGTTACAATATTAATTTCAATTGAGTATCATAAAAACAAGCTTGCTAAGCCAGATGTGAAAACAGAACTACCTGTACCATAGCCAGCTTGGTGGGGGGAGGAGGAAAAACAGAACTACTTGTACTACTTGTAGAGACAAAGACAGGACTCAGCTAAGAAACCCCATCTCGTAGAGAATGTCCTGCTTGTAGACTTCAACAGCAAATTCCTTTCCTTCCCAAGACACATAAATAAAAATCAAAATGCAAGGTGGAATTTTACTGTGGTGAAAGACACTGCAAAATGTCATCAATCAATCTTATTTTTAAGCAATTCTTCATGAGGCATGAAGGCAAGTGAACAGCAAGTCAGTAAAGTCTGTCTGGAAGCCGGTACAAGGACTTGTGTACAGGTGTTGTGGGGTGTATGAGATAAAAAGGTTATGATTTCAGTTATCCCACAGTTGTATTACAGTCATAACAGCAGGTTGTGTATTTTCTGATGGAATCTAGGCTAATAAACAACTCAGCAAACATTTCTAGAAGCCCTTACCAAAAAAAAACCCAAAACCAAAAACACAACAAAAAAACATAAACCCCTCTAGCTCCCTAAAACCCAAATTCCCCTCTAACCAGCAAATCTTCATGTATCTACTTCCAAAAGTAGTTTTGGATGGGATCTCCTGAGACAATGCTTTGTATTTAATACCAGATGTGTCTGCTAAACCCATAAACATACCACTTTTTCATAATACCATGACATTTGTTTCTTGGAAAGATTAGATTATCACCTTCAAAGTGTTGACTCTCTACAGAATGTCCTGGCCCTGAAAACAAAAGGGTTACCTCGGTAGGGTCTCACTTCTTCAGCAAAATAGATTGCTAAGGTTCCTGCCAGATGACGTTTTCAGCATTATTCCACCAGGCTCTTGTTTGAGGTACAGATTTGCAATCAACATGATCAAACCCATCCTTGAGTCCTCTTTTTTCGGTGAAATTATCAAAGATTCAGGGCGAGCTCAGGCAAAGGCAGGTTTAGTAATGTAATCCTTCATTAATACTTCCTCATGTATGTTGTATAACCTTTTCAGTCCACAAGTTTGACTAAGGTTCCTAAGTTATAATGTTATATTTAAATTATATGTTATATTTAAATTATATGTTAAAATTTACAGAAGCGATTGCTTAAGTTTCCTACCAGATGCTGCCATTTTCTGAAGGTGGTGTGTAGAGGTTAATTCTGTCACATGTCATCTGCTGGCTTAAGGATAAAATAAGAGCAGCAAAGTACACTGGAAGAAATGGAATTAGTAGTGTCAGATATAAACCCCTAAAATGCTGATTCATTGTGACAATTATCACTACATTTTCTTTTCTTTCACTCCACTGCTTCCAATGATAGTATCCTTCAACTCGTTCTCTCTTCTTCAACATTCCCCCAGCCCATCAAAATCTGTTTTTTGCACTTTTGCAAGCCATCAGCTATGTCAAAGGTGGCACCTTGTGATTCTGTTTTCTGATAGCTCTGTGTTCTGTGTTCAGGGGTGGGAACTCTCACAAATAGCCCCACTAATGCTACTATTGCAAATGCTTTAAAAAAGGATGCAGCAAAGTGTTCGTAGCCTTTGAATGCTATTTTTAACTACTGGGCAAGTTCCTTATTCTAAAGCAGAAAACAACCAGGAAGATTTCACTGAAAACAGTATGTAGAATTTTTTCATTTAGCATTCTTTCTGGACAACTATCTGCTATAAAATACTTACAGAAAGAGGCTACTGCTGCTGGGTCTAGAGTAAGAAAGCCCCTCAGTGCAACTGATGCTTTTGCCAAATCAATCCTGATTAAAAAAAAAAAAAAAACATTAACACAACCTGGTAAGATAATATTGTTCTTCTAACTATACTATTGTTCTTTTACTTTTTGCAAGATACCTTTTTGTGCCTGTTACAGTGCCTTAATATACAACTGTACCCCACACATGGCAACGGTTCTCTTTATGCCAAATCCAAGAAAGATTGAAACCAAGGAGGATATTCCATGAGACTTGCAGCTTTCACACTGCAGTCCTTTCTGGAACAGGGAGAACGTGGAGAGGTTTGTCCCCTCTCTAATCCTACCATTCATTTCTATGTCCCTACCACCGAGTTATGATAATACAACTGCTCACACAGCTTACACCAGAAGCAATTATGAATAACTTGGGCCTCCTCCCTGCCACCACTCTAGGCAAAAAAGTCACAGTTTTGTCCATAGCACCAATTTCTTCCCTGGCTTACCATGCTGCCATGGAAACTACCTGTAACTAAAAGAAACATCTATGAAACTACTCTGTTTATGGTTGCTCCTCTATGTGTTCATTCCCACTCTTAAGCTGTAACACAGAAACCCTAGCTAAGGCAGGAAAACTGTTTACACAGCTATGTTGCAAAACTGATTTGGGAATGGATTCACATGAAAACTAACCACTAGGAACATTAGTTTTTCTGCACCCCTTTCCCCCACAAAAAATAAATAGGTCAGCTCTTCCATCTGGTTCAGTTCATGGTCACACAAACAGCACCAGCATACAGAAGCAATTATGAGCCATTAAAGAGGAAATATGCAACGGCAGAAATGAGTGACAAAGGTCTGAGTGCACAAGTACATCCTTTATCTGTATAGCCAGCCATGTGTAAAATCTGTCTTTAAGTATATCACAATGTGCCATAGGGAAGTGGAAAAAAAAATATATTGCACACAAATTGCATACCCCTTTAAAATACAAACATATTTCACCTGTCAAAGGCTGAGACTGTACTGACAGACAGCAACAAATAGAACAAACTTTGAGCTGGGTATGCTAGTGCCTTATACTGCTCGAGCAGGTTAGAAACTGTAGAAAGCTGATTTCCTGCCAAAATGTAGATAACAATAATGTTCCACACAGCGTAGCCAGCAAGGAAGCCATGGGTAAAGAGTCCAATCACCCTGAATGGAGAAAAGAACATCAGAAGAGTTTAACGGCTTGAATTAGTGAGGAAATACAGACAGAAAAGGCCTGTGAATCCATCTGTTCAACCCTGCTGCTGTGACAGGATCCCAGCCTTTCACAGGTTGTTTCCGAGTGATTTTTTCTGATCTAATTCTAAAAATTCTAAACAGCAGGACTTCTGCTTCCTCTCTTGACAGACTATACCAGAACCTGAGCACGTTACAAACAAACCCAAGGTGTTTTGCCTGATCCTGTCACCACTCCATTACTGCTACTGCTTTCACTTGCTGCCTGTACCTTTCCATGACTGCTGCCCCTTACACTTAAACAATGCTCTTAAGCTTGTCTTCAGGGTACTTCTTTTATTATCTTCTTCGCTAAGAAAAAGCTGAAAATGAAGTGCAGGCTTCAGATAAGATGCAGCAGAGAAGAAAATGGCTGTACTCTTCCTATTCTGTATCACAACACAACCACATATTAATAATAAAAGCAATGGCTATTGGGTGCAAGCTTATGCCCCAGTCCAATTTCATTACTCCTTCTTTCTCACCAACTAGGATTTTTCTTTGAAACTATATGAATTCAGGTATTTTTATTCTGGTCATATAGCTGATGGGCAAATCTCATTTTGTAACACACTTTTCTGCAGGTCTCTAACATTTTTGTTATCCAATCAATCTCTTGCTATTTGGATTTTGTCCAAATCTCTGAAATACGATTTTGTAAGTTATTATTTTTATAAGTTGCATTGTGATGTCTACACTAGAAACAGATATTCTTGACAACAACTATCAAAAGCTACAGGAAAGAGAAACTCTATATCTGTTCCATCCCAAACCATCATTTATTAGGAATATCCAAAAGAAACAAAAGATACATCATAAGGATAAAGAAAAGGTGTGTTCAGGGATCAAAGGAGGAAAAAAACCCACCCAGACCAACCCCACAAAAAACCCGCAAAGCTGATTTCTGCTTCTTTACATCAAAACATTTATCCTTCACCTGAAACTTCGGTGCACTGAGAGGGCAACATCTCTGGTAGTCCACGAAGCCTTGACATCCATAAGTACATTGATATTTTCAGTGGTTTTAATCAATTCTGCACGGTCAGCTGCCTGAAAACGCCCTGAAAGGATGAGGAAATTAGTTTTATAGAGAGTATTGTTACCTTCCATCATAATTTCTACATTGTTATTAGTGTTAAAAAGCCATAAGCATAAGTTCCCTCAGAAAATTTCTTCTCCTCACTTCCTGCCCTTTACCAGCTTACATTCACACTAGGATGTCTCTGTTGGTGTGATGCACCCTGGTGGGTCAGGCTATTTGAGAATGTGCAAATCACTTCAGGTAATTATTCACTGTTTCCTGGTACAAAAAACCCCAACCAACCAGCAAAATCCAAACCATGAAAATCCAACCAAAAAACTTTCACTTGAAAGACTTTTTTGCAATTCAGCAAATGATACTTTCTTCTCAAGGTACTGAGACAGGATGAGGTCAAACAAGTTCAGCTGGGTACTATCATCAGTCTTTTTCACCTACACTATGGAATTAAAAAATTCATGCCAGCACAGCATTCACTGTTGAAAAATTATCATGTATATTTATTTCCAAATATTTTTTTGTTCTGGAAATCTTTCTTAAAAATACTTCCCAAAACTGCAGTATTTGGGTTTTAAATACAATATTTTTTCCTTTAATTGCAAGATTGCCCTTATATTAACTTAAATCACAAGATGTACTTACGATTTTTTTCAACAAACACTTTGCTCACAGGCTGGCTAACTCCAGTGGGAGCAGCAAACACAGGCTGCTGATCAGGGCTCCTGCTGTGCTCATCTTCAATGATGTCTTCCTCCTCCACTTCCAGCTCATTGGAACAATGCATTTCAGCTGGCCGAGGTTTCCTATCATCACAGAACATACAATGGGTAGAGAAAGAATTAGGAAGTAAAACAAAACCTGAGGGCTTCTATGAACATGGCTACCTTGACTTTTAAGAACTGATCAGGCTATTGACCTGTGTAATATTACCCCTCATTTATAATTTTAAGGACTAAATGTCTCATGGAGTTAGTTAACTAAACCCATAAAGCTAATCCTTGATTATGGGTTGGGTTTTTTTTTCTCTCTTTTCAAATAGCTTCCTGTGTCAAAACAGTAAGGTGGGAAAAATACATATAAAGAGATTAATAATTAGGAAAAGAAAAACCAATACAAACTAAATACAAAGCCAAGAAAGCCAAGGAATAGTTCTTGGAGAAAAGGCAAATAATAAGGATGAAAAAGTGACTAAGTTTCTCATAAAATTAAGAAAAAGATGGTAAGAACAAACGAAAGCAGATGCACATTCTAATTTTTTAATGTATGTGACTGAAATATTAGGCTAATGTAAATGTATTCAGACCTTTAATGCACCCAAGTATTCATAAAACAAAATAAGATCTTAACCCTGCAAAGAACTGCACACATGCTAGTTATTGCACAGGCTGAATGGTAATACGGGCTTCAAGATTTTACATTTTGTAACGTGAGAATGTAAAATACTACTCAGCCACTTTTTACTATCACAACTATTCCAAATTATGAGCTATACGGGTTTTGTCTCACTTTGTTCTTTTTCTCTGTCTGCGGATCACTGTTTCTTCAGTTTCAGGGACATCCATGCCATTTCCATTCTGAAACAGGGATGCAACATTTTGCTGGGTAAAAGAGGTCTCAGAATCTGAAGATTTAAAATAAACCACATGACAGTTTCATAGCTTTCATAAAAGTGGAAATACATTCACTTACATACGTAAATATTTATTATATAAAAACAGTAGGAAAAAAGTGATCTATTGAGCTTTGAATAATATAAAGGATCTACTTTATCACTTCCAAACCTGCCATTTGCCGTTGCCATATTGCCATTATTTTCACAAGGGGATGGAATCTAAAATCAGAAACTGAAACTCTTATCATTCACTTAGAGATTGCTTTCAGCTGTTGTAAGCACAAAAGCACATGAAATGTTTTAAGTCAAAATACAAGGTGGCCAATGATATTTGTGTTACCAAAGTTTGTTCAGTGCTCTTTCCAATCTACAATTCTTTCACGTACCAACAGGTACTTTCTTCTTCTTGCGTTTCCTCTGAGGAGGGACATCCTGAGGTTCAGGAGTTAGGGGTTCACTGCTTTCAGACTGTCGACGAACTGCTACTTGGACAATGCCATCTGAAACCCAGATGAAAAGAATCAGCAATCTTAATTCAGAGCCGCTGAGAAACAGGCAAGAAAAAGCTGTCTTTTGCTGCATTGTGCAGAACATCTGTATTTGCCTGGCTTACAGCTAAGATGAAAATGTATTTGCTTGGAAAAATAACAGTTGGGAAGCAAATGTGATAAGAATATACAAAGGTGACAGCTGACAACCCTCCTTTCACCCTGACAGTTTCATGCCCATGAGAAAATTTGTGTAGCCAAGAAATAGCCAAATTCCCATTTGGACATACAACAGAGGAGCAATTGAAAAGAATCTACCATGGGAAAGAACTATACCTCTATGTTTTTCCTTTCTACATGCAAAGATCATAATGCAAAGGACAAGAAAATATTAAAAAATATCACAAGCTGATTCACACAGACACATGCTAAAGCAAAACAGTGGCATGTCGAAGGGAAATTAAAATGCTAAACATACACCACAAGAATAAAGGAGGAGCAGAAAAAAAACAACACTGAAGGATGTTTACTCCAGTCAGAGAGAGAAACTACTGTGCTTTGGAGGAGCTACATTTCTGCGAGAGGCTAACATGAATTCATCAAATATTCTAGCAGCAGTGGCATCAGTTTGCATGATTATTGGTAGAAAGACAAAGATACTTCTCAATTTTACATCACATCTGCTTTTTTATAGGTCAAATATTTCAGTTTTTATGACAACTGAATCTACCTGTTTTCACTTCAAGCACGTTTTCCGACCTTTGCTAAAAGCAAAATTAACACGCAATGTAATGGCCAAAGCCAAGGCATTCTTTGCACCATCATTCAGCTCACTGAAAACAATAGTAGACAAATTTGCTCCTTGGGAAGCCATGCCAGCAGCAGCTCTACTTGTTGCATTTAAAGCTCTTTCAGTGACATCTCAATTCTACGCTCTTTTACACAAATAAAGGAGGTTTACTCAGCAAACCATCATAGGGACCCACGTCAACTGATTTACCGAAATCCACTAGATTCTATCACCCCATTCTGCTTTATCAAAATAGATCCAGCTTGTAGTCTTGTTTAAAACATTTGTTCTGCAGATCTGCTTCTTGTAAAAATACAAACCCCTAGTACCAGTCATCTTTTAGGCTCTTTTCAGTGATAATGAGATGCTTAAGCTGTGAATTTACATAGCCAAGGACTGAAATTGAGCCAATTTGTTAAATGAGTTTTATCTTGGTTCATTCAGAAATTCAAGCACTTAACACATTCAACACAATAAGGATCTTACAGCTGGAGATGACTATTTAATGAAGTATCCAAGGATACAGGACCCAAAAGGCTCTGGGACAATTTAGGATAATTTTCTTTAGAAAGTTAAAAATAACAGGAATAAAGGAACTTTTTCAGTTCAGTATCAAGACATGCTGTATTAGCTGCACTGGGAATGGATCTAGAGAGAAAAAGCAGAAGATGGAACAAGTTAGTTCAGTCAGCACCACAGACTGGTTTTAAAATGACAGCACTTAAAAGAAAAAGACTGCAGTCATTCAACATAAAATAAATTGTAATAAATTAGCTGAGAACACTACTCAAAAATGCAGCACAAGAAACCATGAAAACCATGTATCTGTCAGGAGCTTGGCTACCACACAGGTCTCACCCTGGGTTACTCGCAGAGTTTTCAGTCTTGGCAGGACCTTACCTAATGGAGTCTTGCCTTTAGGTTTCTTTTTTTTGGGACGACTGAGTGGAATTTCATCTGCAGAAGAGGAAATAAAATTGTAAGTTCACAGCATGGAGAAACCTCAATTTCCTTTTTATAACAGCCGTTCTACTGCCAGTTAAGAAAGGAGTTCCTCTTTACAGGTGAAGACATCCCTCACCTTTTACAGGTAAAAAGACAACTCACCAGTTCAAACAAACAGGAGTACAGAAGATGGCAGGAAAGCAGGGTAAGAAATCTGTCTTACATGCAACAGAGGCTAAATACACACATGTACACGTGTTAGGTGAAAAACTTAAATACCCTGAATAATGCTCTGAATTGTTTAGAGCATAGTGACAACATTTCAGTTACCTTGATTAAGTCTGGAAATAGCAAACAGCAAAGAGAACAAAGAAAAGCAACAGACAGTTCTAGCAATCACAGGTATCTATGCAATTTAAATAACCAATCGGGAAAGCTGTAAGGCTCTACCTTTAAAGAGAGGATGAAGTGACATCAAAAGAAACTATTAATGTTTATAATTCTCTTTCATGCCAGGATAACTCACCTTGGTTTCCACTTCACATTTAAGGAGAAAAGGTGTTGGAGAGCAGTGTAAAAGGAACAAAGACGAGAAAAAAGTTGATTTGCAATCAATTACAATTCATAACAGTGAAATTCACACTGCTGCTTTTGTGATTCATTTCCTTATCCCTGCTATGTGCAGTTGTGTACAACAGGGTTAAGGGTATGAGGCAACCATCAAGACTCAACACTTTGTTCATGCGTACGCACCATTTCTTGATTGGCAACTGTGGATCAGATTAAAAACTTTAATCACCTGGCTAATTAAAATTTGTCTTACTGCCTGACATGTAACCAACAAAAGTTATGACACATTTGAGCACATACATTACTAAAAAGACTGTACCTTTACGTCATCAATCATGAATATCACATTTGCTTTTAGGTACTCTGAAGGAATTTTGAAGTACCATGTCATAAAAGCTATATAACTGCTGTGCCTTCCACACAAAAAAAAAAAACACCAAATTTTTCCCTATAATATGTCTAACTAGTAGACACCTATACCCCTATTCAAATATATCTCATTTCAGAAATTCCTGTTCTGAAGCTCCTGTGGTGCGAAGAAACTAAAGGACATGACACAGAACAAAAAGGGAGGGAAGATTAAAAGGAACATCAACAGAACTAAAGTAGAGGTTAATAAAACTGAAGTAGTTACTTGTCTGAAACTTTTGAAAGGGCTCATCTCTCAGAGTATTAAAGCTCAGGTAATACTGTAAAATTTCCCAGCCTCTATAAAGCTTTAAAATGCTCTGTATTCCTTGTACAGGGCTCTGGGACAACAAACTAGCGAGAAAAGCAATTATTTTAAAAGCCATTATGACTACTCAGACGTTTGCTAAACTTATTTCTCTTAAATTCATTACTTTTATAAACACTGCAATACAGAGCCATGATCAATTCTACAGAATGAACTGCTTTTACCTTGGCACTGGAGGGAGGGCACGAGGTGGGCACTTAAAGACAAAAGAGAGAAAAAAGTTAACTTCTGTCAATGTGAAACCAGCTCTGATAAAACAGCTATTTCGAGATACAGTCAGAAAGCACTAAGTATGCTTTGCTTTGTATGCCTCTTAAATAGCTAGAGACTACTGATGGGGGTGTTACATAAAAGTAATATGTAAAAGAAGCAGGAATAACACGCTTTTGTGAGGAGTTCTGATGGGCACTACATTAGGGACATGTACCTAACAGCTGTGTGTGAGGCACAGCTTGCATTTGAATTTCACTTGAATGATTTTTACTTTTCATGCAAGGTATTGCTTTTCTTGGGAAAGCTTGTTAGTCATTCTATTTAAATACCAAAATACCACAATAATTTATGCATTCAAAGTACTTGCACGCTAAGCAGCATGAGCTGAGTATTTTCTATTAGTGAAGTTCTAAATCCAGAATAATAGTAAAAACAATAAAAGGACATAAGCTTACTTATGAAAACTACTTTCAAATATCATAAAAACATTAATTTTCATGTAATCTTGAAAATAGTTACCAGCAGGTCAAACACAATTAAAATCTAAAAATAAGTATCTCCTGTCAACAACCTGAAACTGAGCTCTTGCACTTTCTCTCATCTAGAAGAAGAGTTTACTTTCAGATTTTGTATTCTAGCATTATATTGAAAAACGATGCATGAATATTACCATGCTTCAAAAATTCAATTGATGTGAGAAATAAAAAAGGCTGTCAAACTGGTAAGACTCAAGGATCTCCAAACTTACCACTTGTTTCTTTCCCATATCATTTGAAGCTGTTCCCTGAAAGAGGCACTGTGAACCGGTCTATACTCCCTCACGCTGCTAACGCTGAACCTCAGCTAATTCTGAACTAAAAATAAGCTTCTAGCAGCCAGGATTAGCTGGACATGACCTTCCTGCCCGTGGGTTAGGGCCCAGTACTATTCCCATCTGAAACAGCAGTTTGTTCTGTGGTAGCAAATGTTAATTGCACTGAGAAATCTGTAACTGTGTGTTGGTACAGGATCTGCCTAGGTTTGTTCATCCAAAGTGAATGAGACACCTCGTGCAAGGAAGGGTTTGCAGGATTAGGCCTCAAATCTTTCACCTGGATTTTGACCACGCTGCACTGACAGCAAGTGCTGTTTTATACAGGTAGAGAAAAGCACACGCTGAGCAGTACCCAGCAAGCTGCCCAGCAGTGGTCATACAATACTGGTGCACCATAAAGGTCAGAGCTTATGACTTTTATTGTTTCCTACACTCCTGTGGCCGTAATTACTAAATGCTTAGGATAGCTGGTATTTAAAAAAAAGAATAAATAAATCTGAAACCCTCTAAAAACAAACAAAAAACCCTAACTCCAAAACCTTTTATACTAGCATTCACTGCCTGTACAGTATTATGTGTTCTGTAGTACCTCTTTCATTACCTTCTAGAAAACAACTGAAAAGTGAAATGATTTCTGTACTGTTTATTCCTTGCAACAAACAAAATCACATGCAAGCAGGCAGTGGTGACTGTCCCATCTCTATGGGTGTCCCCAGCTATGCCATACAGGTACCAGCTTTGCTGTATTAATTTTTAGTTTCACAGAGGCTGAAGGAACTCACTCCAAGCTCTACCGAAAGGGTGAGTGCGGGCACGGGTTTCCAGGGACACTTTGTCACTGACAGAAGAGCTGCCGAGTGTTAACATTTTCGTGGCATCCCTGAAGCCAAGACACTTACATAAACCAGAGAGCTGTTGCCTCAGTGAACCCGTGTTTGTGCACATAAGCCAGGCCCCAGGAAGGTGGGATTCACCTGGGAACTCTGACTCAGGAGCAAAAACCCAATCTGCCCAATCTGCAAGGTGTCCATTCAGGGATGCTGAGCAGAAAACGCCTTCACTCCTAAGTGCGCCTCGATGGAACACCAGCAAGCACATGTATTTATTCCCCCAAATACAGCGAGAAAAGCTGCCACCGAGGGATCTAGGAGGGGGCACTTGTACACGAACTCTAACATTTAAAAACACCTAACCTGTCTTCATAGATTTCAAGCTTTGCAGAAGTATCTTCTTACGAGAACTATACGTGAATGAAAATATAGAAACAACGAGGCAGTGCTCGCACCCCCAGCACAGCATGAGCCGAAGCGTGGCACCCTGCGGCCGGCTACTCCCCGGTCCTGTGGGTAGCGGCCGCCCGGGCCCCGCCTGCGCTGCCAGGGCGCCCTGCGGTCACGTCCGGCTTCAGCTCCGTCTCCCCGGCAGCAGCGGCTGCCACTGAGAGCCCCGGAACGCCCCTTCAGCAACGACTCGAGGCGGACCATCCTCTCGCTGCAGCCGCAAGTGCTCACAGCCGGCCACACCTAGCTGCAGCCCCCGGGGTCGGCTCTGCCGTGACCACTGGCGCTTTAACTCCCGCTTCCCGTCCGGCCCGCTCCAGAGGCGGCCCCGCCGCGGGAAAACCGTTCCCCGCGCGCCCCGTCCCCGCCGTGCCCTCACCCCGCCGGAGCCCGCCCGCCGCGCCGCCATGCCGCGCCCGCCGCCGGTCTCCTCGGCGCCGCGGGGAGGAGGCGGGGTCTCTTCCGCTCCGCCCCGGGGCTGCGGGATGGGCAGGCCGGTGCTGCATCCCCCTCGAGCGCAGGGGGGCAGGCCCAGCCTCCCGCTGTAACCTGCGTTTGCGGCCGGTGTGGCGGCTCTTTCAGCAGCTGCCTGCCGGGAGAGCGTCGTCCCCTCGGGCAAGTAAAATCAAACACACATTAGTGGGAAAACAAGGTTCCCAGCCGCCTTGAGAGAGTAGCACATTACACCTTGAGAGTTTGCAAATTAATAATCATTATTAAAAAAAAAAAGAAAAGAAACGTGATAAAGTTTCTTCTAGGAGAAAGAGACATGAAGCAAATGCAACTTAAACAAGAACATATTATAATAGTGAAAGCAGATTCATCTGTAAGCAAACACATGAAAACTAGGCAAGAAGACAGACTAGAGAAATGCTGGAATACATCGCCGAAAGGGCGAGCTGCTCACGGACGAGAAGCACAGAGCTGGTAGCAGTCTCACCCCTCTACCTCTACTTACCCCACACCATACTCTCCAATTTTACGTCTAAACAAGGTCTGACTAGAACAAGCAAGCATGGTGGTAGCTGCACTACTTAGCTTTGAATAATCTTTCTCGGCTTTTTAAATTGCTTTTGTTAATATTCCTCCAAGGGGAGGTAGGCTAACCAAATAATTGTCTGTGTTCCTTAGGGAGCAAGGCAGCTGTGAAGAGAGTGAGCAACTTGTTTGGCACAAGCACAGCACCATTTGATGAAGAGAACATGCCACGGTGAAGCAAACCAATAGGAAAAGGAGCTCCTGGCTCTGTTTCCCTCTTTGGTAAGTCCATGTTCTGTCAGCTGTCAGTATTTACTCGAGTTGATGGAGCAAAAGAAAAGACAAGCTACAGGTAGTGTGAAAATAACTGGTTTCTAGAGTATTTTTTATTGTGACCACAGCATTCTGCTCCTGTCTTAAAAAGGATAAACAACAAACCAGTAACTTAATAAATAACACTCTGCTCTAAGACAGCATGCTAAAAAGAGCATGCTCTGGCCTGAATATTGACTGAATATTGCCTGTCAGTAAGGCTTCCAGGATGTACAGCTATCACAGTATCAGAGTGACCATAATAAAAAGGATTTTACTGTAGCTATGTACAAGTAAATTATGCAGATACATGCAACAAAATAGATTTTTATTTATTCTTATAATTGAGCACTCAGTATTTCATTTTTTGTACAAAAGTGGATGCAACTGTAACAAAAAGCTGAAGAGCTACACAGAACATAGTATGATTATATCGCCTGTAGCAGCTTCTTTCCTAATCCTCTTCCAAATCCCTTGCATAAAGATAAATTCTTGCAATCCTGACATTAGGATTATTCTTGAAGTAAAACATAAGCTGTAATCTTTCTGAAGCTGCCTGCTGCTCAGAATTAGGGTTGAGTGTTTGAGCATATCCATATTGCAGGGACCCACTGGGGCTCATCCTGTGCACGATGGACTGCAGACAGCAGTTGTGCAGATGCTTCTTGTAAATTATCATTCACAATGACTTGGTCAAAGAACTGACCAAACTGAGCTTCCATTTTCTTAGCTGAATCTTCCATCTCCTGTAAATCTTCTTCCTGCAAGATACAGAATAAGTCTATAAAACTTTTGTGTAAAGTTAGTGTTGTGTAAAGAAACATACCTGCATGGCATCTGCAGAACAATGTGAGCCATGTAAACAAGAGGTGAATAGATATTCAAGGCAAGGTTGGATGGGGCTTTGAGCAATCCAGTCTAGTGGAAGGTGTCCCTACCCATGGCAGGCGATTGGAAATAGATTATCTTTAAGGTCCTTTCCAACCCAAACCATTCTATGATTCTATGATTAAGATAGCACCAGTGTACTTCATTTAATTTACAGTTTGCTATAGTAATGTACGCCTGTGCCACAGCCTGTACCAAGTCTCTGAAACAAACCTGACTGCCACATCTTTCCCAAGGAGATGCCTTGTGTCTCAGTATGCTGCATTTACCCCAGGAAGGTTATTCTATTAACGAGCACTGGCAGAGGATGTTAGGAATTTGAGAGCCAAGCCACTAACACTTGTGTTCTCATTCCACATTCTAGTTCATTTTCCCATTGTTCATGTTTCTTTGACAGAACAATGATGATTCAATTTTAAGATTGACTATGATTTGCATGGAAACAGTTGTGACAATGCACATTGTAAATACAAGAAGCACATTTTCTACCAGCAGGATTTGTGGGTTTTCTATAAAACTTAATACAGAATTGATACAGATACTGTCATTAAACATATGTGAAATAGCAATATATTCATATAACTATATGAAGATATCCGATTAAATTACTGAATGAAGTATGTTCCTGGATTTGCAGTGCAAACAGTAAATGTGTATTGACTCAAATCTTGTCACAAGACGATTAAAACTAAAGTATACAAACCCATAGAATCAACTAGATTGGAAAAGACCTTTAAAGATCATTAAGTTCAGCCATTGCCTGCCAAGACCACCATTAAATCATATCACTGAAGGCCTCATCTACATGGTTTTTGAACACTTCCAAGAGTAGTTTGATTTTTGGCACATAAGGACTGCCTGTTCCTGCACCTTAAGGATTTCATTCTTCAAGAGCATCCAGCCTTCCTGGACCCCTTTGTCCTTCAGTAATGTTTCCCAAGTAATTCTGCCAACCAGCATCCTAAACAGGTGAAAGTCTAGCCTCCTCTTTAAAAAGATTTTGAAGCAAAATGCCTCAATCCCCTAGGTACAAGTTACAACTCTTCCACTTCAAAAGCAGATCTGGAAGGGGAAGAAATCCCAACAAGTAAACGGGAAAAGACAAGAATAGCTTAAGATTTGATCCAAAAGACACACGATTTTTTTTATTTTTTAAAGACTTAACATAGTAGCTTATATTACGTACTAAACACACAATCCCAGAATAATAAGCAGTCCCTTTTATTCCCAAATCTCACCTTGAATTTCATGTTCACATAATAATCTGTAATGATCCTGGCATTTTTACGAGTCTGCCTCATGCAGCTTATGCTGGATGGCTTGATGAATATGATGTAGGGTTTTAACTCATGGGTCCGAGCTACTTGTATGCCCTGAAATTAAGAGTAAAAAGAAGCTGAAGTATTTCAAGTGCATTCATCTCAGTTTCACTCCCATAAAAAGCCAGTTGTTTACAACATGCTGTTATCTCCAGACCTAGCAGTAATCTGTTTCAGGTACACCTACTTTAAAATGACCTCACTAATAATCCCTGGACCAGATGTTGTTAAGCAACTGTAGCATTCCAATCACTTAATTCTGCTTGGGAACATTATTAGGAGTGAGTGACTGGACATTGTCATTAACAGATCTCTACAATCAACAACATTAGAGATTAATCTGAAATCTGTTTTTTTAACTACTGGGAGTTACCACTGGAAAAAGTACATATTTAGTGCTCCATACAGGAGGAAAGCATCTTGCTTTAAGCAAGTATGAAAACTCATTTCTGTACCGTTCCACCTGATAATGCAGCTGCTGACTTAGAAACATATGAACTATACTGATCTGCACATACTGTAGTACCCACCTCTCAAAACCCATGCAAAGAATAATCTATGACTAATAAGCACCATGTGCTAAAGTGAGAAAACGAGACAAAGCAACTAATACTGTTC